CTGTACATATACACCTACACTTTCTGTATTAGAGGGAATGACGAAACAAAACAAAACAGAATACAAGAATAACAAGAAACCAAAGAGACAAATAATAATGAAGAACCCAAAACAATGACAATGTAGGCTTTCTAAACAAGGCAGAAGGAACACAATTAATGATGTCATGTTGCATAGTTACCTTCAAAAGAGTTACTCAGATTACCAGATACAAACATGAAAACTTGATCTAATCCTGTGATTGCTGACTGTTTTGTTCCAAGAACTACTAGAATTAGTAGCACAATCATTTTAGCTATTTTAAGTGTGTATATACACAAATTTATATATTTTTCTTTTTCCTTCTTTTCTCTGAGTAATCTTTTCCCCCTTTGAGTAGTTTCTTATACTCTCAAAATATTTATTATATATTTTGTATCTTATTTACTCTCTCAGTTTCTTACTCTAGGGAGACAATACAGTGTTTATACATGTGAGTTTGATTTATTTCATTTCAAAGTATGATCTCAACTCACATCTATTTATATAAAAGCCTCAATGTGATCCTTCTTTATAGCTGAGTAATATTCATATAACATACCACATCTTTTTTATTCCATTCCTCAGTTGATGGGCATTTGGGTTATTTCCAAGATTTAGCTATTACAAATTGTAATGCTGTAACATGGGTGCACATATATCAATGTGGTATTGCTGTTATCAGTTCTTTTTGGAATATGCCCAGAAGTGGAATGTCTAGGTCAAGTGAAACCTCCAATCCCACCTTTTTGAGGACCTTCAGACTGACCTTCATGGTGGTTGCACCAGTCTACATGCCCACCAAAAGTGTAGAAAAGTTCCTTTTTTCCCCACAGCCTCTCCAGCATTTGTTATTGGTGATTTTCTTGATCTTGGACATTCTTTCTCGAGTGACATCTCATCATGGTTTTAATTTGCATTTTTCTTATGACCAATGAAGCTGAACTTTTTTTCATGTATTTATTTGCCATTTGTATTTCTTTAGCTCAGAAATCTATAATCATTTTAGATGTCCATTTTTGGATTGGGTCTTTGAATTTCAGGTTTCTGACATTTTTTAATCCTTTAGATATTCTAAATAGAAGTCTTTTGTCTGAGGGATAGTTGACTAATATATTTTTTCTAAATTTATGGGTTTCCTTTATACTCTGTTGGAGATTTCTTTTGAGATGCTAAAACTTTTTAATGAGATGAGATCCTTATTATTGATTCTGGGAAGTATTTCCCATGAGGCTTCATTTTTGTTCATGAAATCTCTACTTACCCCTATGCCTTCAAGATTTCTACCTACTTTGTCTTCCAACAGATTTAGTGTTTCTGATTTAATATTTCTTAGTTAAATTTGATAATTCATATGTTTTTAAGAATCTATGCATTTCTTCTGTGTTGTCAAGCCTATGACAGTAAAGGTTTTCCAAGTAGTAACTGATGATCCTCTGTATTTCCACAGGGTCTGTGATAATTTCTCCCTTTTCATTACTTATTGCTTGAATTTTATGTTTTTCTTTCCTTTTTAAAATAACATCGGCCAGGGACTCATCAATTTTATATATTCTTGTAACAACCAACTTTTGATTCATTAATTCTTTCTATTGTTTTCTTAGTCTCTATTGCTTTAGTATCTGCTCTGATCTTTATAATTTCTTCCCTTCTTTTGGCTTTGCACTTAACTTGTTCTTCTTTTTCTAGGTATTTGAGGTGTAGCATCAGGTTGTTGATTTGCTTTCATTCTGTTTTCCTGATGTGGGAATTCTCTGCAATAAATTTCCCTCTGAGGACTGCTTTAATTGCATCCCCGAGGTTCCATTAATTTTATTTGTATTTTCATTTGCTTGTAGATATTTTTTAATTTTTTCTTCAGTTTCCACTCTGACTTATTGATTGTTTAGGGGTGAATTCTTTAATTTCCATATGTTTATGGAGTTTTTGCAGCTTCTTTTGTCATTAATTTCTAGTTTCATGGCACTGTGATCTAATAATATGCATGAGATCATTTCAATATTTTTGTATGTACTTAAGCATGTTCTCTGGGTTAGTATATGTTACAGTATAGTCTCTATTTTAGAGACTTTCCTGTGTGCAGCTGAGAAGAATGTATATTCTTATGTCGTTGGGTGGAACACTCTGTATACATCTCTTAAGAACATTTGTTCACATGCTTGAAACAGTTCTGTCGTTTTCTTTGCTGACTTTTGTCTAATTGATTTATCTCTGTGTGTCAATGGGGCTTTAAAGTCTGCCTTTCTAATTGCATTATTGATTACATGATTTTTTCATTTCTATTAATATTTTTTTGTGCTCCCATATTTGGTGTGTATATATTTGAAATTGTTATCTCTTCCTCTTCAGGTTTTCCCTAACCAGTGTGTAGTCTCTTTTGATCTTTGTCTCTTTTGATCACTCTTGGTTTGAAGTGCACATTGTAAACAGAATAACTATCCCTGAATTTTTTGGGGGTGGATTTCTGTTGCATGGTGTATTGTTTTCCATCATTTCACATTTAGTCTATGATTTGGACTAGATGGGTTTTGGAGTAGATGGGTTTCTTGTTGTATACAGCATATGGTTGGAGGCAGTTTCTTAATCATTTTGCCAATCAGTTTCTTTTGGAGTAGATGGGTTTCTTGTGTACAGCATATGGTTGGATGCAGTCTCTTGATAATTTTGCCAATCAATTTCTTTTAATTGGTAAATTCAGGCAATTTACATTAGTGGTTGAAAGTTATATATATTGGCTTAGTTTGTCATGTTATCTTTCTGCTCTTGATTCTTTACCTTTCCCTTCCATTTAATTGTTTTCCTTGCATAGTGTTTTTTCTTCTGTTGATGTTCTTGAGCTGGTAGTTATGTTTATGTTTATCTAGAACATTTTTCATTATTCTTTTTAGGGTGGGTTTTGTGATCATGAAGTTCTTCATTTGTTCTTTGTCATGGAAGTATCTTATATCTCCATCAATTTTGAAGGTCAATTATGCAGGGTACATCAGTCTGGGTTGGAAGTTGTTATCCTTTAGGATTTGAAATAGTTCACTTCGCGCTTTTCTTGACTTGATTGTTTGTCCTCCTTAATTTTTTTAACTATGTCTTTAGATATGTTCAGTTCTTTTATTACATTTATTCTCTTACCTGGGATATTATTTCTGATCCAATTTCCTTTACAGCTTCATGGAGTTGTCCTTACTTCAATTGCTATCATTTTCAGATGTTTCCTGTATATGGTTTACATTTTCTTCTATGTCCATATCTCCTAGGCTTGTCTTGGATGGGCTGGATGTTTGCATTTTGCCCTTTCATTTTGTCATTTTCCTGTATTACCCCAGAGAAGTTGAATGCAAGGTCTCAGTTACTTCCTGGGTTGAGGATATCTGTTCATACTGCAGGGAGCTTCTCCAGTGGCATGGGCATCATTAGTTAGGCCTTATCAGGTATCTACTTGAAGACTCCTCAATTGTGTGGAGTATGCTGGGTGGGCCTTCAGCATACCCGATGTGGTATTGTGAGGTTTCCTGGCTGCCTGAGGTTGCTGGATGTACTGAATGGCTCTGAAATGTGTAGGTAGAAGGTAGAATAGCTAGATGGAGTGCACTGTGCAGGTCTTCAACTCGACCAGATGGCACACCAAAGCTCCACAGCTGCTAGGTGCCACTAGGTGTGGCCCTACCGGGTTCCCAGGGAGGTGCCGAGGTTTCACGACTGAGTGGGGTTCTTTGGGTGAGACTTTGGCTCATGCCACCAAGCTTAGGTGATTCCATGGCCACTCACATTCACTGAGCAGAGTCCAACCGGGCCCTGAGGGGCCTACTTTTAGGTTCAAGGCTGAATGAGGAGGCTGGGCATGGTCCTACCTGCTTCCGAGTGAGGCACTGAGGTTGCACAACTGGATGGATACATTGTGTGTGCCTTTGACTCTAAAAAAACTATGGTTTTGGATGCATCTTTCCTCTAAAATTTATTTTGAAATTCAGTTTAAATTTTATTTCCATTAAATCTTGGTTAATAATCAGTTACAAAGTACTCCTCTCAGGACTGAATAAATGATTCAGTGAAAGAAGCTTTACAGAGAGATCATCTAAATTTTTATGTGTCTTCATTCACATTAAGTGTCCAACTGGAAAATGGAGCAATAAGACATGAACCTTGAAACTGAAAATTTCAGCCTCCAAAGGTACCAATTACCTGAAGACTGAATACCAGTTAAACCTATACGCCTCTGGTGTAGAATTTCAATTTAGCAATTGGGCATTGTTTTTATGAATAAGTTTGTGATAATTTGTGTCACAGCTATAAAAGAATAACACACACTCCTTATAAAAGATCATTGGATTTCCAACATCTTAATAGATCATACACATTTAATTGACAAGAACAATGAACAATTAATTTGAGAGGTCATGCTATAATGGCAATAACTGTTAGCTTTCCATTCATGATTTGGATCTCACTGTAGCCTCATAAGCAAGGTACATAATGTACCTTGTGGATCCTAAAAATCAGATTCAGAAATTATACTTTTGTTAATATATTCAATATATGTATTCATCTAGCAGTGTGGTGGAATCATTACATATTAACTCAGAACTAAAATTTATAATTTTAATAAGCAATTAGCCTTGTTTGAAAAGAAATCTTGTATCCATGACTAAACCATAATTTAAAGCAAAGTCATTCAATAGATTTGGAAAAGCATCCATTTTTATAAGGGATATTAAAGTTGTAACTAATCACAGATAAATAGAATTTTTTTCCATATGTGTGAATAAATTAAAACAACAAGAAATATCAAATCATTTATTTATTAATATTTAAACCAACCAGATATTTTTACATTTGGTCAATTATAGAATGTGAAAAATAAATTTAAAGTTAGAGTTTTAGTATAAAGAACAGATAGAATTAGATTCTGCTGTTGTTTTCCTTTAATTCTCAGTATCCTTGGTCTCTTTATGATGTCACCTCTATACCTCACTAATGTGAATTTACATTCCATTAAGTCCTGGCCAAGTCATAGGTGGGAAAAAATGTCTGTACCAAGATTGTAAGTTCTTTTGTCACTTTTTTTTTGTTTTGTTTTGAAATAATCAAATACTTTTCTAAGCATATTCTCTTTGTTCTGAGGTGATATTTTCATGTTATTATTATGCCACCTACACACACAAATAAATGTATTTAAATAGAGATCTACATGCTAAAGCAACATCATAGGTTACTTGGTCTGAGACTTAGTTCATGTACTTCACCAAAATAGGAGGTTTTGGTTGTGTTTTTCATTGACTTGTAAGTCTTAAATAGTTTTCCTTTATACTGGATACTAGGCCAAACACAATAAAGGATTCTTAAGGGAATGGTATGGTATCCTAATGGTTCTTAAGGGAACTGGTATCCCTGGAATCCTGGACATTTCTGAGAAACTGTTTTATGTATATCACTGTTATTAAGGAAGTCTGTTGAACTTTAAAGAGTATAGTAAATGTTAAACCTTTAGAGTTGAGCAGCCCTACATAAGACCAGCCAATCATTTATTATATTTTCCTTTATTTGAACACACAGCAGGATCTCATAAAGAGTATGAGTTAGTCTTCTTTTGCTACATAACAAATTATCATAAACTTAGTCATATAAAATGACACAATGCTATCTTGAAATTCTATATGTCAGAGGCTCAAGGTTTAACTGGTCCCTCTGCTCAGGGATTCATTTTTCAGGATACTTTCTTCACAGATTAAAGCTCCCACATAGTTGATGACTTGTGAGACTTAATCTTTCAGCTTCCAAACTTATGCCTTACTGCTCCATTTTCTCACTGGATATTAAGCTGGATTAAAGTACAGGTTGAAAAATTCTTAGTATGTGATATTACACTGCTATATAGAATAGATTATTTTGACATGACAAGTTTGATGAATACAGTTTCCTTATACTGAATTTGTTTTCTGTTATAATGAGACAGGAAAATAATGTTATAATTATTTAAATATTTTCATAGAAAAATGGTGAAGGAATGGATTTTTAAACTGTAAAAGAAAGAATGGCTAGATTTTATAGGAAGGATGACCCATAAGCCTTAAAAATGAAATGGGTTTTCCACAGACAATTTTGTCTATTTTGTTATAACATACTCATAAAAGAGCAATTTTGCATATGCTTGTCGTTACTCTTGAAGGTAGGCATCTGTGTTTTAATGTCTGCCTCTCCATTGTAATGCTACATCTAAATCACTTTAACATGCTTTAACTTACATCATAAAGCATCACATGAGATCAGAAAATTATACTTTGATACATGTATACAATATTTTAGTTTAAATCAGATATGTATGTATTTCATAAATATTTTTAGTTAATTATGTGAAAACATTGAACTACTTATGACCAGCCTTTTAGCAGTGCATTATTATATCCAGAGCCTCTATTTTGGCCAACAGCAAACCAGAACTTATTTTATGTGACTTCATATTTGACACCTATGCACTGATCAAAAATTTACTTTTTCTCTGCTCTCCTAGCTTCCGGTAATCACCAATATATTCTCAACTTCTGTGACAACAGTCATTCTCTATTCCACCTATGATTGGGATAATCTGTCTGTACCCGATTTATGTTACAAAGCCTCCATTCAAATTTCTTGTTAGATATAGAGCTAAATTGTTTTGCTTGAGCTATTTGTCAGTTTTTGAAGTAGATTCCTCTTGCTTTAAAGTTCTCTTAATGTACTGATTTTGCTGTATCTCACAGATTTTTGGTATGATGATTTTCATTTATTTCATTAAAATTTGAATTTTACCTGTGAATTTATTTTTATTTTGTATTAGGTCTATTGGTACAATTTAGAGATATACATAATGATCATTTGCATCATAGGGAATTTGTATTCATGCATAATATATTCTCATTCATCTTTTTTCCCAATTAAAGGGAAATTCAACCCATTTCCCTTTCTTATTTACAAGTTTGTTTTCATTTTTTCTTTCTTCACCTATTGGTAGGTTCTTCCTTCACCTATTGTTACTGTTAGAGTAAGTTAATTCCCATGTTATTTACATAGTAATAGAAGATTCTCTTACTATTGATTTCTAGGAATTTTTCTTGCATGATGAACAGGAAAGAAAGAAATTTTTGATTTAAAAAAATTGTTCAATCTTACTCTGTAGCCTGTAATATCATATAGCTTGGAGAATATTCCATATATCATTAAGATAGAATGTTGTATAGTTTTCTGTTCAATGCATTTGGTTTAGGGTGCACTTTAAGTCTATCAATAAGCTTCTTTCTTTATAATATGTTTTTATGTTACTGCAAATTTTAGTGTTTTATTACACTTACAACTTTTGTTTTTTCTGATAGGTAGAATTACACTTCATTTTAAAAAATCAATGAAATTGACACAGAACTTCAGTATAAGAAAGGATGAAATTAACCATCACTACCATTTCTCTTGTTTTGTTCAAAATAGCTACCCATACCATCAGAAATAGTAAAATCAAACAAAATAAAACAATAAAACAAAATTGAAATAAAGTATTACAAGACTAGCTTTGTTCTGATTGGTTTGGTTTGTTTTTATTCTCTTTAAAGTAAAAAAATATAATTATACCTAATGTAATAAAAATTATACTGTATATTCTTATTCCATCCATTTAACATCTCTATTTTAATAGATGTCACTGTATATTCTATTTATCAAATCATGTTTTATATACACATAAAAATTTGACGTCTTTTTCAATTTTTAAGCTTTTATATCTTTATAAAATAAAATATAGTTAGGATTAAAACACAATGAAAATGATACAATTGAGTGCTTTCTTCACGAGACTGTCTTGTCTCTTCTGTTGAAATTGGAACAGACATTTATTCATCCCTATTTTACTGATTATAAATAATTTTATATAATAATGAAGATCTGAGAATTTAAAAATATTTACCTATGTGTCAGTAGAAGCTATTAATGTATAACAATGAGCATTAGAGTAATTTTGAAAAATTAATTAAATATTTTCCATTTTATTTTAATAGCCAAAAAATAAACTTTGGGACATATGACAATTATATTCCAGGTAAGAAAGAGTTTGATATTTATATTGTAAAATATGCATGAATAATTTCAGGATTAAATTGTCATCTTTCATTTAAAATGATAAATCAAAAATTGACAGAATGCAATTGATTATTGTTTTCTTTTCCAAGTTAAATTCCTCAGGGAATCAGGGAACACTTTCTACTTTTTGTCTTAAACCTAAAAAAGGATAAGAAAACACATTCATTAATATAAAAGTGGACATATTTAAATGTTAGAAGTCATCTAGTCAAGTAATCTTATAATTAAAAATCAGTATAGAAATTGCTCAATCTCTCACCCAGTTTCATTTACTTCACTGCTGATAGATTACATCCAATTTATAGTTGGTCAAAAAAGTCCTTTATAGATAATACTAGAGTAATTAAGTTATTTTATTATCAAGTGATTTTCCTTCATATATTGAAGATCACAGTGAATTTCAAATTACTCAATTTTCATAAAAGTAAGCTATAATTTGAACAATTTTATTCATCTGTACATGTATTTCACTTAGTACCATCACAATTCTTTTTAATTTTTAGCAACTGAATATAAATTGTGCATTTTTTCATTCTCATTTAAGTCAGCGAATTAAGCAAAAAATCATGGAATCAACAACACTTTTCCCTGGCTTTTCCCAAACCACAACGACCAGGAAAAAAAAGGCGAACAATACCTTCCCAACTAAATAAAAGTGTACCTCCTCCTGTAAGTATTGAAACAACATGTATTTTTACTGATTAAGAATTATTTTTCAATAAGCATGTGAAATCATACACAGTTGTTACACATTATGCCTCAGAGCTGAACAGACAATTTCTATGATGATGGAAGTATTTTATATCTTGCAGTGCTATGAAGATGTTGTGCCTTTTTTTCTTTTTACTAAGACTGTGTCTTACTATAGTTCAAGGTAGCCCTGAACTCACTATGTAGCCCACAGTGGCCTACATCATGGCAAATCTCCCTTCTCAGCCTACCAAGTGCTGGGATTCCAGGTGTGCACCACCGTGCCCTGGCAATGAAGCTGTTGAACACTTGAAATAATTCTAGCGAAATTGAGGAGTTGCATTTCGTATTTAAATTAAATTTAATTGAAGTAAGATAATCTTAAATCATACCTGCTTTGTAATGCCATAATTGACAACACATTTAAAAGTAATTCAAGACTTACTACTCAGATAAGGTCAATGTATCTTATCTTCATTTCATTTTATCACTTACGTCATGCCTTTTACTTAGTTGTCCTTCATTGTATCAAATATCTACAAGACACATAGAAATTTAGCTGCTCTATTTGACAGTTAATATGCACCCTGGAGAAATGTTGATTATCAGAAGAAAATCCTTTATTACAACCTTGGGATTGCAGTATGCTCTGAGGAAGATTTAAAGTTTCCTTTGCTCATATAATATACAATTCAGGATTCTGAATATTGAATAATAAACACCTCACAATATTTCTGAAGTGTCCATGGGGCAGAAAAGTATAAAACAAAAGTGTTCTCAACTTGAATACATCACCAAATCTTTTTTGTCCTTGTTGTTTGTTTGTTTATTGGGAAAGAAAGTCCATCAGTAATGATCAGCTTTCTTTGCTTATTTCCTTTACTCAGCTTATTCTTCTATTGTGTAAATATACCATTTGCTAAAAATCTGCATATATTTCATTAGTGATTCAAAATAAAACATACCATGATATCTACTGAGTGTTAGAGATTATTCATTTCTGTTACCTGCTATTTTGCCACGTAGAAGGTATTTTAGACTTCTAATAACATTTTTAAGCATTCTAGTTTCTAGAGACTTTGAAAGTGAGAACAGATATCAAGACATGCTTAAACCTAAAACTATTAGATTATTATGCTACTTCTGAATTTATGTAGAACTGGATAGTGGCCAAGATATTTCAAGCATTATGAGGAACAATAAGTCAAAAACATCAAAAGCTTTTCCTGTTTGTAAAGTGAGGTTCTAATATATAATGGGTCAGTTAATATCTCTATGAATATTAACATAAAATCTTAAGGTAGTTATGAAGACTACCTAAATTATAATAGGCTCAAAATGAATTGTAACTAATAATTTATATAAAAAATAATGAAATTCATAACAAAAAAATTGAAAATCTACCATTTATCAACATTTAAATAAAATAACTGAAATTTTTATAGTTGAAACTAAAATTTAATTGGCTAAGCACTGCATGGCTTGCAATTTTTTATTTATTCCTCATTACTCTAATCAATACTTCTTTTAGACCGTCGATGAAGAAAAAGTAAAAAGCGAAGATAGACGACCATTATGGATGCATCGGTCTCTAACAAAAATTTCCGAAAGACCATCTGTTTATTTAGCTGCAAGAAGAAAATCTCTACCCAAACCAGCTCCTTCCCCAAAGGCCGATTCTGTACCTCCAAAAGCAGAGAAGAAAAAATCAGAATCAGAAGCAAAGCTTAAGGCAGATGAAAAGAAAGACAAGGATTCAGACAAAGAAGCTAAAGGTGAAAAGGCAGAGCCAAAGAAAAGTAAAAAAGGTTCAAAGGAAGCCAAAAGTTCTGGCTCAGAATCTGAAGGTGAAAAGGCTGGGGCAAAGAAAGATGCCAAAAAACCTGCAACAGCTGCAAAGGAAGGCAAAGGTTCTGGCTCAGAATCTGGAGGTGAAAAAGCTGGGGCAAAGAAAGATGCCAAAAAACCTGGAAAAGCTGCAAAGGAGGGCAAAGGTTCTGGCTCAGAATCTGGAGGTGAAAAAGCTGGGGCAAAGAAAGATGCCAAAAAGCCTGGAAAAGCTGCAAAGGAGGGCAAAGGTTCTGGCTCAGAATCTGGAGGTGAAAAAGCTGGGGCAAAGAAAGATGCCAAAAAAACTGGAAAAGCTGCAAAGGAAGGCAAAGGTTCTGGCTCAGAATCTGGAGGTGAAAAAGCTGGGGCAAAGAAAGATGCCAAAAAGGGTAAAAAGGATGCCAAGAAGGGTAAAGATTCAGCTACAGAATCTGAGGATGGAAAAGGCGGGGCAAAGAAAGATGCAAAGAAAGGTAAGAAAGATGCAAAGGGCAAGGAAGAAACTACAGATTCAGAACCTGAGAAGGGAGACAAAAAGGGTGGGCCAAAGAAAAGGGATCAATCAAAAGACTCCAAAAAAGGTGCAAAAAAGAAAGATGAAAAGAAGCCAGGTGCTTCAGAAAGTGAATCAAAGGACGCCGGCAAGAAAGAGGCCAAGAAAGATGCCAAGAAAGATGGCAAGAAAGATGCCAAGAAAGAAGCCAAGAAGGACACCTCAGGGTCTTCTGTAGGGAAGAAGGATGACAAGAAAGGTGCCAAGAAAGATGCCAAGAAAGATGCCAAGAAAGATGCCAAGAAAGATGCCAAGAAGGGCAAATAGGCCCTGGGTAATAATTCCACTGGACAGTACCAGGGAAATGCTTATGGGTTTGAAGCAATGTCAACACTCTAAAACTGAATCTAGCATGAAAAAGAGGCTTTAAATCTTAGTCATATACATTTTACAAGGGATTGAAAGAAAAATACACCATGGAACCATAATGTATTAATAAAATTTGTGGAAGACTTTTATAAATATTAATGGAGAATCCATTGGGAACCTTGGAAAATATTATGCTACATTAGAAGACATGGATTATCAGACATCTCTAGAAAGACTTAAAAGTTGATATGAATAAATGTGGAGAATATAAGGCAATCTGTGGAAAGAAAAACATTTAATCTTTGCTGAAGACGTTTTAAGTTCAGGAAGGAGCATTTTATAGCTATACATTTAAACCATTTCAAGATGCATTAATAAATTTAATGAAGAACTATAGGAGTGGCAAAAAATGTGAAACCACTTTGAACTAAGTACAAATCAGAGATAATGTCAAAAATTAGACAAATGGAAGGCAAAGGAGAATCAATCAAAGAAAACAAGGAAAAAACCCATGAATATCATCATTTGCCTGTATTTACTAGTGAACCAGTGTCACCATTTTTGAGGTTGAACTAATGATTACCATGTTTTTGGTTGTTGACTGTTTCACTTCTAAGTCAAGATGCACATAAATGGTAAGTTAATGTTGATTTATTTTATTAAATGATTTAATCCATTAAATAATTTAAATGATGCATTGCTGCTTTTAAAAGAACTATGAAATTTATTGATATTTTATTAATTTATATCAGTTTTTCTCATTACAACAAATATTTGAACATGAAAATGTTACCAAATCAATGAGATTTTAACAAGTGTCCATGAAAAAGTTAAGAGAATTAAGAATTTTTTATGGTGCTTTATGTTGTATAACCTTAACCTTCATTTATCACTTTATTTTAAAAAATAAAGTTACTAGCCTCCATTTAAAGATTGAAAATCAAAATCATCAAAATTACTGAGAAAATATTAAATGTGATATAAAAAGAGTGCCTTGATATATTGCTTAATTCTCAGACAGAACTTAGCAGAGATGAATAGATATAATACATAAAATTGTTTAGACATAAGAACAAGTAACTTTTTATCTTTATACCACATGAAACTCTCTAGTAACTCCCAAGTCCTATTTATGTGAGAAAAATCAAGACGAGCAAACAAACTACAACACTAGTTATCTTGCCAGTTTAGTGGCAGCTAATTTATTTAGATTTTATACATTTAATATCAGTTAATGTCAATGTTACTGCCGAGCTTATTGATTTTCCTCCTCCCCTTTTATACTTCTTAATACAAATTGTCAGACAAAATGAAGATTTTCCTTAACCTTAAGGGGAATGGAATGCTTTGTATTTCCCTTGGTCTTATCATCAGCCAGTCTTCTCTGGATGATAAGGTATAATTGTTTTGATTGGTCACTAAGCTTTGGGTCCTGTCCCTTATGAATCAGGAAGTAAGGATTATTTGCTTTTGAACTTAGAGTTTGTTAAAGAACACCACATTATTAATGTGGGTTATTTTAACAAATTGTGGCATTCCTGTTTCTCTATTCTCTACTCCCTTTACGACCTCTTTCCCTTAACCTTGACTTAATATTTTCTTTCTTTGAATAATCATTCTGAATCTTCTTTTCTTCTTTAAAAATATCCTAAAACTATTTTCAAGAAGATGCAAATATTTTTGAATTTATTTTATTTTAGCATGGAAAAAAAAACCATGATACATAATTTCAAAATAAAATAACAGATTACAGTGTATAATATGTCTAATTATCTTTAAATTAGTTGCTCAGATTAAATGATATAGGCGTGAAAAAGTAATCCAATAATGAAAGAAAAAACACTCTTTTATGAACTAATAGAGATTAGCAGTATAATTATCTATCATATAGAAATATATAAATATCCTTCCTTTCTACTTTTCTGCTTTGCTCTTTCATTTTGAGCAATTTCTTCCCCTTTCACTTTAATAGTATTTATTGTACATTTTGGATCTTATTTACTCTTTCAGTTGTTTACACTAGGGAGACAATATGACATTCACATGTGAGTCAGATTTATTTCACTTACGATTATGGTCTCAAGTTGTATCCATTTACGATAAAAGTCTCCAGTGTGTCCTTGTGTATAGCTGACCAGTACTTCATTGTGTAAAAATACATTTTTTTATCTGTTCTTTGGTTAATTGATAGCATTTGTTATTGGTTGATTGCTTGATGATGATAGTTATATCTGAAGTAAAATGAAACCTCAGTGCTTTAATTCGCATTTCTCGAATGACCAAAGATGTTGAACATTTTTTCATGTAATTATATGCCATTTGTATTTCTACATTTGAGAAGTGTGTATTAATCTCAAGCCAATTTTTAGAGTGGGTCTTTGAATTTGGGGGTTCTATTTTTTTTTAATTCTTTATATGTTCTAGAGAGAAGTCTTTTCTTTGAGGAAAAGCTGTCTAATTTTTTTTCCCCATTTTGTGGATTGTTTTTTCACTCTGTTGGTTATTTCTTTTGAGCTGAGAAATCTTTTTAATAAGATCCCAGTTGTTGATTCTTGGAAATTTTCCAATGCAATTTGATTTTTATTCATGAACTCTCTGCCCTCCCTATGTCTTCAGGATTTCCACCTACTTGTCTTCCAGTAGATTATTGCTGTATTAATATTTAAATCTTTGATCCATTTTAAGCTTATCTTAGTTCATGGCGATAGCTGTCACTCTAGTTTTAGTCTTTGGCAAGTGGAAAATCAGTTTTTCCAGCACTATTTATGATCTTCCTTCCAGTGAACATTTTGCCCACTTTGTCAACATTAAGGTGTTTCTTCTCTAGGCTTGCTTGCGATGGGCTGGAGTTTTTAGATGAATACTGAGTTCTCAGATGAAGAAATACAAATGGCAATTAAATAAATGAAAAAAGATTCAGCCTCCTTAGTCATTAGAGAAATGCAAATTAAAACAAACTGAGATCCCATTTCACAATAGAAAGAATGGCCAGTGTCAACAAAATTACCAAAAACAAATACTGGAGAGGCTGCAGGGATAAAGGAACTCTTCTGCACTGTTGGTGGGAGTAAAGACTTGTGCAACCACTGTGGAGGTCAGTCTGGAGATTCCTCAGAAAGCTGGATTGGAAGTTCCTTTGGACCCAGCTATTTCATTTCTGGACATATTCCCAGAAGAACCGAAAACATAATATAAGAGTGATATATGTGCACCCATGTTTACAGCAGCACAATTTGTAATAGCCAGATCTTGGAAACAAGCTAAATGCCCATCAACTGAGGAATGGATAATAAATATGTGGTATTTTTACACAAGGAAGTACTACTCAACTATAAAGAATGATCACATTGAGATATTCAAAAATAAATGGATGCAAATTGAGACCACACTCTTAAGTAAAATAAATCAAACTCACATGTGTAAACACTGTATAGTCTCCCTAGTATAAGAAATGGTAAAAGTAAGTAAGATTTTAATGGATATCATGAATTAACATATTGCTTTGAAATCTTATAATGTTTGCATTCATTGATTAGATTGGTTTTATTTTGTTTTGTTTGATTTTATTAGGTATGATAGTATAAGCAGCTATTTTTAAGAAAACAAGATAATATGGTAGCCATTGCAGATTTGCTTTCATCTTGATTTGAAGTCCTACCATGCTTTTGTTCTTCTGTTTTGATTGGTTGTATCCTGTTTTGTCTTATTAGATTTTATTATGTGTGATGATATACACAATTTTTTTTTTAAGGGAAAGGAGCCCTCTAGATATTATAGTACTCATTGTTCATTCCCTGTTATTTGGTTTTGAATGCCCCGTAATGCTTTCATTCTGTTGAATGGTTTTATACTATTTTGTTAAGTTTGATATTATTGTGTGTGAAGATATGCTCAATTGTTTCAAAGAAAAGAGACGTTATGGTAGCTACTGTTGATATCTGGTTGTTTGGTTGTGAAGTACTGTTTTGCTTGCATGGCTCTGTTCTGATTTTCTTTGCTCTGCTGTCTTTTGTTTTATTCTCTTTAAAATAAAAACGTGGTATTTGTAGTTGCATCTGTATCTTGCAGTGTACTCTAATGATCTTCAGGATTGTTTTATTTCCAGTACCATGCTCTCTAGCGTAATTTCAGGTCAGAGACTGTGATTTCCATTGCCTTGCCTTTATCACCCATGAATTCCTTTGTTATTCTGGAGCTGCTCCATTTCCAAATGAATTTTGGACATGTTTACTCTAGATCTGGAAGGTATGCTAAAGGTATTTTAATAGGGATTGCCTTATGTTTCCTTACCAGCTTTGGAATTATGGTCATTTTCACAATGTCAGTTCTTCCTATCTAAGAGCAAGTGATATCTATCTATTTTCTGATATCTTCTTTAATCTCCTTTTTCAGAATAATGCAATTATATATATATATATATATATATATATATATATATATCTTTTTCAAACTTTGATAATTGATTCTTAAGTATTTCAATATTTTTGGCTGCTTTTGTGAAAGGTTTAGGTACCCTACTTTATCTTTCAGTGAGTTTGTTTGTGTACAAGAATGCTATTGATTTTTGAGTGCTAACTATAATGTATCCAGCTCAGTTGCTGAATTTGCTTATTAACTCTAGTAATCTTTTGGTGTAGTTTTTGGAAATTGTATGTAGAATATCAAGTCATCTGCAAATAACGATAATTTAATTCTTCCTTTCTTATCGTTATTCCTTTTATTTCTCTCTCTCCTAACTGCTCTACTAACATTTCCAGAACTATAGTGAATAGGACTGGTGGAAGAAGACATCCTTTTCTTGTTCTTGATTTTAGAGTGAAATTTTAAAGGTTTTGCCCATTTAATATTATGTTAGCTGTTAGTGTTCAGGCTTTGCCAGATTGAGGTCAAAACAATCTATTCTGATTTTCTGTAGTTTGTATCATTAATTACTTTGGACTTAAAACTTTTACTGGTTCCATTTAAATGATCATGTTATTTTTGTCTTTGGCTCTGTTTTTATGGTGTGTTACGTATATTGATTTGGGTGTGTTGAACCTTTCTTGGATGAGTCCAAAATGGTTATATAAGATTTGCTACATGCTGTTTGTGAGTATTTTATTGAGGATTTTGCATGTATGTTCAGGAAGAAGACTGACCTTTAGTTCTCTTTCTTGGTTTGCTCTTTCTATGGTTTTGGTAGTAGAGTAATGCTTCCATCCAAGAATGAGTCATAGAGAATTGCTTCCCTTCCAATTTCATTAAAATGTTTGAGGAGAATTGGAATTAAATCTTTTCTAAATTTATTGTAGAATTTCATTTTGAACTGATCAATACCTGTTATCTGTTGGTGAGTTTTTAAATATGCTTTTCAATTTCAGTAACTGATATTGGGTTATGCACAATTTTTATATCTTGATTCAGCTTTGATAATTCATATGTTTCTAGTATCCTGTCCATTTCATCTGTGTTTTTCATGCTATGTGAATAAAGATTTTCAAAGCATGTATTGGCAGGCAGTTTTCTGAATTTCCTCAGGATCTGAAATGGTTTCATTTTTTTTTTATTCCTCACTGAATGAATTTGTAATTTTTCTTTCCTTTCTTGATAAGGTTGGCTAGGGATTTACCTTTTTTTATTTTTTCAAAGACCAACT